TGTTTTGCCCATGCACTTTTTTTTTTTTTTTTTTTTTTTTTTTTTTTTTTGAACAACCCAAGTAACTGCTAGAGGTGCTGATAAGATCAGACACCACTAGCAGGCTCGGGGAGGCTCCTTCTATTGGTGGGGAGCATCACCTGCTGGAAAACGGGTCCAGCGTCCCTGTAAACAATCCTATGTCATATAACATGCCACGCATTCCTCCTACTGTAACCCTGAGCAATTGACGAGCCGGCACATTAGCACACTCCATTCAATGCTAATGAGCAGCATTGATTGCCGTCAACCGAGGGGATTGACTGCCCATCACAATCTGAAGATATAACCCTACTCAGAAACCCTCATGTTATTCTAGAAAAGTCTGACAGCGCCATGAGGGGAGGGGGTAACCAGATCAGGGAGGTAAGAGTCAATTATCGCAGAACTCCGGACCAAACCCGGTTTCACCTTCACAGTTGCTATTATGAGATTACCTGTACCAATGGCCCCCCACAATCCTTGTAATTCACAATTCCACTCAAGCCACAATTCTACTCAAGCAAGGAGACACTGATACACAAATTGACAGTTGTAAGCCAACACACCGTGTCCATCACACCAGAAACATGAATGATCTCCCAGACCGACACGCGGGCACCCACCAATAACCTGATGATCAACTTTCAATTACCGTCTCTGTTGTAAAGTTACCTGCACCTGTGTCCCCCCCACGATCGTCATAATGTACGAAATCACTCAGGCGAAGAGGTACTGATGCACGAAAGCGCGATCAAACAGGAAACAGTTGATCTAGTGAAATTGAAATCACAAATTCCACGCGGCAGAACAGCAATCAATCAGACCAGCATTCCTGGTCTGCCGCGTGGCAAATCCTATATTCTATAAAGCCGCAAACCTTCAGATCGCCAAAAACACTTGGCAAGAGCACTTGACACGTGGCCCCACCCACCCCTCATCTGCTGCCAAGCGGAGTATGCGGCCCAGTTATCCACCCTTCTCTATCCTACCCCTTCGCGCCACCATCCCACCCCCGGCATCCCCTCATAGCCTTCGTATTTACAACACATTCCGGCCATCCAACCCACTTGCCCCCAATCGATCACCACGTACGAGAGGAGAGAAAACAAAAGGGGGGTGCGGAGGAAAGGGGGATAACACTGGCCATTCACACTTACAACTCCGTGAATATCAATATCGTTATCTTTGTTATTGGTATTTTTGTTGTCACCGGCTGTATCGCTGTTGCTATTGCTGTGGTTGCAATCGTTGTCCTTCCCAGCGCACATACTAATGCTCCCTCCTCCCATTCCACTATCGTGCTGGATGCAATTATTGTTATTGTTGTTGCCGTTCTCGCCCTGCGCCACAGCCATCGATGATTCATTATTGTTACTAGTATTGTTGCTGTTGTAGATTTGAGCAATGAAGAAGAGATGATTTTCGTCGTCACCGCTGACAGTCTTGGCGGCGCCGTCTGCACTGATGTTGTTGTTACAAGGGTCAATCACGATATCGTCATCACGCAGTAGAAGTTCATCCTCCAATTCGCCGCAAAGACCTTGCCCCTCCTCAAGCTCCTCGTAGCAGCGGCGCATCAGTGCATACAATCGTGGCCGATCTATAAATGCTGCCAAATAGAGGGGCGGCCCCTCCTCCAGCCCCCTGATGTTCTCCAACATGGACTGTTGGACTCTCCGGATCGACGACATCGACAACTCAATCCCCTCAGTCACAATCGTTCGCAAGTTCGCCACCATCTGGCTTAACCGCGCAGCACTCGCTTGGGCAGTGCTGAGCCACTCGGCCACTCCTGTCCGCATCTCATTCGAACTCACCATCTCCATCCTCAAATCCCCACGTCACACACTACAACACACTCCTAGTGTTACCCCTCCTTACCGATCTCACCCCAAGAGGTCCACGAATGACACGCCACGTGGCGTGCACGTGATCAGCACGGAGGCCACGTCAGACCACAGAGAAACCTGTTCCGACGTGTCGTGCAAGGAGCAGGCCGGGCCGTGCCAGCCGGTCCCCGGCGGGGGACCAAGGTGCGAGCAACGCGTAACTCAGGATCGGAATCTTAAGAAAGATGATGTGAAGGGAATTTGCATGAAAGAGGGTGTCAAGTATACTACCCTTACGGAGACTGTTGCAGAGATCATTGCCAAGAGGGTGGATCGTGCTTTCTGCAAACGAGCGGTGGTCCAGGTCCCAGGAGCTCTCTGATGATCTAGTTGAGGGTGCACAGGACGACGACGAGGGTGACGGGAGGGACTCAGCTATCCCTTATGGTCCTTCCCGAGCGCGGCTATTCTACGGTCTATTGCAAATGCGATCTTCGTCTATATACTATCTTCGGCTGAAGTCGTTGGACTCTCTCTTTCGACTGATTTTCGTAGCACTTATTTTATCCCATTTTATTCCATGGGCTGTTAAACTCTCTCCTTATCTTTCTTCTTAGTGGCGGTCTGGTGGAGTGGTGCAGGGTCCATTGGTTTATGTTTTAGTGTCTCCCTGGTGCAGACACTTGTACGTGAGTAGTACGACGCGGGATCTCTCGATTAGGTGGAGTGAGCACGTGTACCGTGCGTGTGATGCAGCGTTGATCAGCAAGGGGAGGAGGAACGAGCGATTATATCGATGGCTAAGGTGATGCGGAGCAGGCAGATACGTGGCAATACCGATTTGCGGTTGTTCGATTGATGATCTTGTTATTATCGAGAGGTTCTTCATTCAATTATTTTCCTCGTCGCTCAATGCGAGAGACAAACCCAAAACGGTGGGACGACGGCGTTTGGGCAAACGGGAGAAGGCGCGATTGGCACGTAAGAAGGGTGAAGTGAATGGTGGAGTTTCGGGATCTACATCCAAATCCGAACGTTCGTTACTTACTTTTTATTCCTCTCGAGGGTTGGTGCCATCTAGTCTGCTTCGAATACTGAATCACTGCCGCGACAAGTCTATTACATCTACTCTTGTGGTATGTAAGGGTGGGTCTTGTGGTATGTAAGGCTGGATCGGTGTTGTTGGATAACTGGAAAATTATTAAACGTTGTTTTGGATCCTCGATAATATCATGTGAATATGATCGGGATCAGCTGCGCTGTTCACGGGGTTGGTTGCATGATGGTGTTACGCTGAAGTTTGAATCTATCATCCCTCACTACTACAAGTCTCTCTCCTTCAAACCTCTTCTTTTTGGTTTTCTTGGTCTTCCTGCCTCTAGGAGGATTCTGCAATCATGGGACTTCTCTCAGCTTGTCTATGCTTTCTCTGCTATTCGATGTTTTCAAGAGAAGCGAACGCGTTGTAGGCTACGTGTGATTCTTTCGAAGGTGGTGTTCGCAAGGTCCGGGGTACGGCAACGGCTGGTGCTCCGCATTACGTATGATCACAGATACTGTAAGGCTGAGCTTCACAAGGCATGTGCGCGATTGGTTGGGACGCTTAATCAGGAACCTGCGTGGGAGAACATGGTGATTGGACGTATGAGAGTTGTTTTTTGCCGTAACCTTTCTGTCGGTGACGTGATACATAATTTTCGTATTGTCGCAGGATCTGGGGAATTTGAATGTTGTTGTAATGATGTCGAGAGGACGTTTCCCCGAGATAATGGGCATGTTGTTTTTCGACTCGTTAGGACTTTCATCCATGCATGACTAATTCTAAGAATGTCCTTTGTCCTTCTGCTGCTTATCCTGTTTCCAGTTTCAAGCGACAAATTATCAAGTCGTTTCAATCTTTTTGTTCTCTCCTTGTTGTTGACCCTCGAAATCTCAATCTCAACTCGTTGACTTCTTGCCTTCTTCAGTCGACCTCCTCTCCTGCTACGTCATTGGATACCTGCTCTGTTGATATCGTTCGATCTTCTCAGGCTCGGTTGGGAGGTTTGGTCTGTTCGCCTCTGGATCGTAATCCAGGGGATACTTTTGTCTGTTAGCCCACTGTGTATGGGTTGGGAATGAGGAAACTATTCTTGGAAAACCCATCTTTCGTGAAGATCCAGGACTCGGAAGGAGGAATCCTGGATAAATGCAGGAGAATGTACATAGAGAAAGGGTTTGATAAGATTGGTACTTGGAAGAAGGATGCGATGTTAGGGCGAGCTTACTGCTTGGTTAAACATAAAGATGTTACCCGTTGGCGACCGATATGCCCCTCTCATTCGGAAGGGTCAGTGTTGGGTGCGAAGCGTGTGGCTCGTGCTATCAATTGTATGATATGGAAGCTCCCCGGTCATCTGCATTTCAACTTACGGCGAACCGATGAGCTGGTGGGTAGGATAGTTGATATCAATGGGAAGTTGAGGAAGGGTGATGCTGTGCTCGGTGGATCCTTCGATATCAAAGAAATGTTCTCGAATCTGACACATCATTCTATTGTACGATGGTTACGATGGATCCTTGACTACTGAATGGGGGAAGGTATTGTGGGAGTATTGGTTCGCGAGTTTGGAGAATGGCTCGTTTGACCTATGGTAAAGGTGAGGGCGGGTGGATTCGACTGAAGTTGCATAACATTTTAGAGTTTGTGGAATACGAGTTGAGTAATACGTACGTTTTGGCGTCCGGGCGAGTAATTCGACAGGTGGTGGGTATCCCTATGGGACAAACGACTAGTCCCGCCTTAGCCTGCTTGTTATGTGCGTTCAATGAATTATCTTTCCTATCCTCTATCGGTTCTGAAAAGTCGCTTGTCCATGGTTGCCGTCTTGTGGATGACGTTTCTCTTTTTGTGAGATTCAGATCTAATGATGTAAGATCTAAGGCTAAGGCCGAACAACTGCTTGAACTCTTCCGTACTTGCTATGATGAGAGTCTAGTGTTGGAGCAAACCAATTTGTGCCAAAGCTGGGATTTCATAGGATGCGATGTCTTAGTTTTGAATGATCCATGCCGAGTTATTTGTTGTGCTACGCATA